CATACACACACACATACACACACACCCATACACACATACAGACACACTAACTGCAAAGACTCCCTTTTTGTGCTTCGCACACGGGAGTCAAAAAATGGACGTGCATGAAACATAATAAATTACTATATGCCTTTCTTTTGCATGTAATGTATGATGCGCACTTGAAAATGCTATTGTCTACAACTTTTAGTAAATGCTATTGACTTCTGCTGAACAAACAACTTGATTTACCAATTTTTCTGACTCAAAGTAGAGCATAAATTGGTAAATGTTAATTATTTTCTGTGTTCTGACAAGGTGTTGCATAATTATGAACCTGGAACAATGGAGAATGTGCCCTATAACTGGAGTAGATATATAAAGGAGTCCAATGGTCTGAAATATCACTGTGTTCATACAATGTCCTAATGTTGGTTTTTTCAGAGAAAACAAGTGAAACCTTGTTTTAACCAAGTGGATGCAACTTAGAACATTCTTTCTATTGTGAATATCAATAATGCTCTACTACCTAGCAAGTATCCAGAAGTACAATGTCCACAGAACAACTGAATTTGATTCGTTGACAAATAAATTCATTTAGATTTATTCAGAAAACTATGTAAGTTTTAACATATTGCAGTACAATCAGCAAAAAACTGGCTCGTAATATGAAATTAAAATAATCTTTAACAAGATGATTACCATATTTATTCTATTAGTAATGCATGTTCTTCTGCAAATGACTGAATTGTGTCTATGATCAAAATGAAACGTATTTTAACAATCCACCATACAATAAATGCAACTTTTTGGTTTAGCTGCTTCTATAAGAGATGCACTTCTAATAGAGTAAATACGGTATTTAATGTTAAAGTTCAATATTTTCCAAGTTCAGTACAGCCGGTGTTGAATTGAAATGCGTTCCAAATGAGAAACAATTTCCTCCTCCACCAATGACTAGTAGATTGTCATCAGGTAATACGATGGAACAGTGATTATGAAGCATCATGGGTAATTTTGGATCCTGAATCTGCAGGAAAATGAGCAATAACACGTTCATTATATATGGATAGTACAGTATAATTTTAAAAACATATTTTTTGAAAATTATAATTTTTTTAATGCAAATATTTAATTCTTTATCATACAAATATGGCTGTTTTTGCAGCCAAGATCTGAGACACGAATGTTGGTTCTTTTAGATTTTCTATAATTTGTGATTTTTTCTTGATTGGAGACATGTTTGCATTTTGTAGCATTCAATAATTTTCAGCCAATGGTATTTACAAACTGTATATGTTCTGCTCTAATAAAGACATATACAAGCGAACACATTTGGTGTCATTTTCTAAGTAATGTAAAATACTTTATTTTCACAATTTATTTTCGCTGAAGAGATGATTTAGTGAAAATAAAATCTAGCAAATAAACCTTTTTTCCTGTATATATAGTTATATATATTGGTAGATAGATAAGGAGATATTGTGTTATTTTACAAATGTACTCAAATATTAGTTTAATATTCAAATAATACGAGATTATCACAAGGATACCTCAAAGTATGCATGAAGACAGTACAGCGGGAGTATCGTTTGAAGTGCAGCGGAGGTCGATGTGACGGTTTACTGTCTTCTGTCTCGTAATTCCCTTATTATTATGAATCTTTTCTTTCCAAGGATGCACCATGGGAATGCCAAAATCCAAAATGTTTAGAACAGAATCAGCGAACTTTTTTGTGTTGAATTCGGTCAAACTCTGGTGGCAGCCATGTTTGTTTTTATTATTAGAGGACGCTTACGTGTGTAATCATTTCATTTTTGGAATTCGCATTTCCTAACATGGTAGAATGAAAATACCCTGTAAAATACTGCTAAATTACGGCATGCTGTAACTTATGGCGTTACAGTGACAGATGTATAATAATTGTTTTTACTTACCGGAAGACGATAGTTTTTCCAAGTTAATGTTTGTAAGTTGAGTATTGTGAGACCAGGTGAAGAGAATGAATCAGGATTGACACCACCACATAGAATCAATGAATCTTTCACTACTGCCGATGAATGTGAATACCTAACAAATATGAATAGGTAAATGTTAAAGAAGACAGTTGAGTACTGTACTAGTATTTTGATATCAGGTGACGAATAAGGATTCATAAACCACCACACAGAATCATGGAATCTTTCACCAGTGACTACAAATTTGATATCTGACAATAGTGAATAACTAAATACAAAAATAGGCAGGTAAAATATAAGTATATTGACCCCAGGCAAACAGAAAGGAAACATAGAATCAAGGAGATCATTCAATACTGCTGAAGAAGGTGAATACCTGACAAATATGAATAAATAAATACAAAAGTAGGCAGGTAAAGTTAGGACAGGAAGAACAGTTTCTCGTCTCATAAAACATGTTTTACTGATTTTCATGAAAGTTCATTTTTTTCTTTTCTTTTTGTCTAAAATTCTAAAAAAAAAGCTACCTGACATGTGCAATACATAAATATTTGTCTTATATTGATTAGGGACAACATCAAAAGTTCAATGTAGGATAAAAAACTTAATTCCTTTAGTTTTTTCTCAAACTCCCCCACCCCCACTGAAACTTAGTTGATAAATATTGATCATGGCGCCAGACTAAATTCACGATTAAATACAAATTGATAATCGAACAGTAGTATGGCATAGCAGTTAGTTCTAGATCCATGCCCTGAAATTGACCTCATTTGACGCACATATTTACACTCGAACTAAACCATTTTCTCGTCTTGGATGTTTTTTTTTTTTTCATTTTCTGTTATTTTTGTTCATGATTGGATAGAAAAAATAAAAACGAATTACAACTACAGATTTTGTTGACTTCATTAAAAAATTAAATCGTTTTTTGTAGGATGGAAACCCCCCACCCCCACCCCCAAACTAAAGCAAACAAGTTTTTTATCCGACATGGATCTTTTGTTGTCGTCCCTTACACAACTTCGTTTGATACAACATTTGTAATAAATACACATGCTGAAGTCATCATGATATACAGGTGGATGTACATTTCACCTTCATTTTAGCAATCGATCAATCACTTTATGTAACCTTGGGGAAAACCTAAAAGTATCACCAAGGATGCTAAGACAGTCAAGCAACTATATACATCAAATTGAAAAAAAGAAACAGGAAATGAATAAAACCACAGCATTCATCTTGAACAAAAGTCACAATTACAATCAAAATCAGAAAAAGTACAGCACATACGCTATGTATTAAAGTTGTACATTAAATCATTAAATGAAAAACAGACGGACGATGACGGGCAATCACTCATATCATAAGTTCCGCTTGACAAAGTCGACAACGGAGCTAAAAAGACAAAAAGACACTCTTCTCCTGCAGTTTTAAATTTAAATTTAAGAATACAGAGCTTTACAGTTTTATCAGCTTTGAATTTGAAGAGCATTATTAATAATTTCCTCCAATCAAAATGATAAGGTTGTGAGATGTGACTGCCACAAACACTTTAGAGAAAGGACGAGGCAAAATGGTGACCTAATAAATGTAAATTGGAAAATGTTGTGTGGAGGAGAAATATATACCGTAAAATTTTAGATAATAATATTAAGTTTATTCTCCTTATTATAACCAATACAATAATAGAATCAAAAAACTAAATACAATGCAAGAACAAAAGTGAGAATAGGATCGGAAAATAGCCGTCAAGTGACTGCTAATCTAGTCCGTTCCCATCTTAAATAAATATTCATAATAATTAAGTATTAGAGCTAGTAAAGAAATAGCAAAAACAAATATATATATATAAATATATAGATATGTATATACATTTTATGTACAAGAAAAACACCACGTTCACTAAGTATACAAAAGATATTTTTTGTATTCTTTTTTGAATATGTTTCTCGACTGTATAGATCTAATATGAGTCGGAATTGTGTTCCATATTTTCGGGCCAATGTATTTTATAGAAAATTGACCACATTTTTTCTTAACTTTGGGGAGAGAAAGATTACGTTTGTAGTTTTGTCTTGTGTTATAATTATGTTCGATCTGCGGGAAGTAGTTGTGAAAAATTGGTGGTAATCTATCA